ATATATATATATATATATATATATATATATATATATATATATATATAGATGTGTGTGTGTGTGTGTGTGTGTTTAAACCCTTCCCCCACTCTTGCAATAATCTAAACAATGTTTCTGTTCTTGGCCACACCCACTTCTCCGCTTTTCATGGAGAACAGCTGATCAGCTGCAGCAGGAAGCTTAACCTGGGCCGCACAGAGGTGCTAAATAATTTAAAACAATTTATTTTAAACATAAATTTCGTGCCTGTCGTGCGGCTCATCCATAAATCAGCCAATTGTGTGTCATGTCCGGTCTTGTTTTAAAAACCGCGATAGAGCGAGTTTGCGAAAAAAAACAACCGCGACGTAACGAGGGACTGTTGTAGTCGGTCGGACCAAAAGAAAAATGCACACCAGAGTTTGACGGGATCGAGTCGTGACGAGTCGTTTGTTCATCCCACCACCAGCCTGTGCCCAGTAGATGTGGAGCGCAGTATTCTGTCGTCTTTTTGTGCCTTTTATTTCCTCTCATGCGCGCTTGGTGTGCGTTCGCAGTGAGGACAGGATCCGTAACGGCTGCAAGAAGATTGTGAAGAGCAGACAGGGCAGCACGCAGGGGCGGCTCGACTCGTTCTTCACCGTCACCGGATCCCTGTCCTCCAAACGGAAGGTGACCGTTGCTGCTCGTTGAAGGTTTCCATAGCAACGTGGTTTAAATGAAATAACGTGTTGTTGTTGTGTGAATCCACGTGTCAAACCTTGTTTTATTGTTTATTTAAGGTTGACCTCACCGGGTTTTATGTCTGTTTTAGGAGCCGGAGATTAAAGGATCAGCAAAGAAGAAGCAGAAAACCGGAGCCGCTCCCGGGAAATTCAGAAAGGGCAAATAGACAAAACACGATTCTTGATGTTTATAGTGCGTAATAAATAAGAGTTATGACTGCGCCTTGGAAAGGTTTGATCCAAGGAGCATCTCAGCTGAAGCTTTGTTTTAACGACCAAACAAAATCCAGTCAAGCTGTAGATCAACGTTCAAATGTTTTCACAGGAAGTGCTTGAAATAAAAATGTTCTTTTAGTAAAAATGGTTTATCCTTATCCTGTTGCCATGATTTACAAATAATAAGGCCGAGGAGACGTACTTAAAATATGAGTTGAATGCTTTTATTTTGAAAGGAATTTATATAGTTTGTTAAATTAGATCATTTTACCGTAATTCTGCCAAAATGTTCTGTTTTAAGGCCAAATATATCTGGATATTTGTATTTTTTAAGTAGGTGTAATATTCCTGTTTGTATCTGTTAGCAAAATATCACGTGACAAATTTTAATGACGCTTTCAGGATATAATAATTCCCTGAATGTCTATAAATGATGAACACTTCATTTAAACCAGGGTGTAAATTTACAAATTTTATTTAGAGATTTGTATTTTCTACCTGAGACACACGTTTAAACTTTGTAGCAGACGACCAGAATAAGGCTTTGGTTCTGCAACGTCCTGCTGGGTTTGGTTTGTCGATGCTCTAAAGACACAAGACGAGTGTAAAAATAAGAAGAACGAATTATTCTGTACATTTGTTAACGTGAACAGAATCATTCTGTAACAAGAGAAATGTCATTTCCTGTGAAAAAGCAGTGAAGGGGCTGAATATTTAACAAAAAAGAGTTTTAAAACTGGAGAGTGAAGGAGGTCGTCTGATGGGACGAGGGAGATCGTTCCACAGTCCTGGAGCAGCTACAGAACAAGCTCTGAACCTCCAGGAGCAGCTGCCGGAGCAGGAGAGTACGGGTGAAGCAGTACGAGGGGCAAGACCATTTAAACTTTAAAAAATAAATAAAAATCATAAAATGAACAGCCAGTAAGTGCTCAGTAAGCCAGGAAACCATAAATACAAGAAAAGCTGCACTATTTAAAATAAATTAACAAATACTAAAAAAAAAATGCTGCACTGCCTAAAATAAATTACTGTAAATATTAGAAAAGCTGCACCACCTAAATTAAATTACTGTAAATACTTGAAAAGCTGCACCACTTAAAATAAATTACTGTAAATATTAGAAAAGCTGCAGTACTTGAAATAAA